CTCTCGATCTTGACAGAGAACAGATAGTTGCATCGTAACTTGCGTTCCACTCAGCGCTAGTCTAGCACGTGCTAATATTTCCTTTCCTCCTCGGAAGACGCCACTTAGGAGCAAAATGTGAGCAGCTGCTCCGCTCTGTACTTTATTACTGCGTTCTACAGCTTCTAAACCCAAAAATTCTGTAAGACTTTGAATCGCTCCTTCTAAAGACGTCACTGATTCTCCCAAGGAGAAGGTTTCTCCTAACTTGGCATATCCTTTTGCAGCGTACGTATCCCAAACGGTATTAAAGTCCATGCCTCTGTTACCAACGCCACGTATTTGATCGGCTATAGTAATTTCCAAATCTTCCAACTAAAAAATTGTATATATAATTATTATTAATTCTGTGAATAATAATTTCGTTTCAACATAAAACGAATAATCGTTTAAATGACTGTATTTTTTCCTCTCAATGAGATTTGAGAAAGTATAATTAATTTTGTATTAATGCATCTCTATAGAGATTTGTCTTTTACCATATATTCATCGTGGTATCCTTGTTCCGCATCTGGTATTCCCGTCGTTGGATCGCAATCTCTTGCCATAAATCGAAGTGTCGTGGGAATGGTAACGAGGCTCGCTTCTAAATCTTTTGGGTATTTTAATACTGTGTAGGTGGTTCCTGGCTCGTTGTAAGATAATCGAGGACACGGTACCACACATACAATAGAGTAACTGAAATAAATAGTTTGTTACATCATCAGAAAAGTGCAAGGAATAATGTTATAATCAATAAATGCATTTACCTTTCGGGAGGTTCAACAGCCACTACCACATCTTCGAGGAGTTGATCGGAGAGCGTGTTCACACAGTCGAATTGTAAAATAAGATACTCAGGGAATGTATGTTTGATGCATTTGACATTGTATTCTGTTTCGGATTCCGTTAATTCAAACACCGGTGTGGATTTGAGGAGCGACGTATCTTGGATGATCTTGGCTAATTGCGGGATCTGTGATAATTTCTCTATGAAGCTTTCTTCTCTGGTCAAACGAGGCTGCTTGATAGTAGTGTGCACTTCCACTTGAGCTGGTTCCTCTACCGTCTGAGCTGGAGGTATCTGTAATTCAATAATTATATGAATAAACTTAAAAGTTCTTTTTTAAATCAATCGAAAAATTTCTAAGAAAGAAAGATATAGGTATAAATTTTTTGTTATTACAATAAAAAAACCCCAATTTGTAGCACAATTCCAATTTCCATCCATCGCTACATTTGCTTTCACTTACTTCAGGCTTTTCGAATACAAATAGAAATTATTAAAAATTATTAGAAACATAAGTATAATATTATTAATGTTGATCCTCGTTTTTTTGCAAGATGCTTATGTACATGTATAGGAGAGTAATTATCCCGCCTTTATGAGCAAATTTCTCAGCAAATTAGAGAAAATACAATACCTGAGAAATGTCGAACGAGTCTTCCATGGGTGTTTCCATGTAATTTTTTAAGGCTCTTCCTAGTGTCGGTATGGACAGCAAGGGCGGCTGTATCAGAGGCAATATAGTCGGATCGTTCTGTTGTTGCAAAATCGTACAATAGTAAGCCGCACGATCGCGAACCTCGTCATCCGAGTCCAACTGGCAACGTGAGAGCAAAACCAACACGTTCGGAAGTAAAGGTGGACAGGCAGCAGCGAAACGTGCCAATGCGGTAACGGCTGCTGCTCGCACGCTGGCGCTTTCGAGGATAACGCGATTGTAGATAAAGCGGATGTATCTTGACGGTTGTTTCGACGTGGGTCCCTCTTGGCCAAGTAAATGCAAAATGCGAACAGCGAGGGAAATGTGCTCGCAATCTTCGATGAATTCGCAGAGATGTGCGAGTCCAGCTTCCTTGGCTTCTGCATTTCCTTCCATTACAGCTATAATGGTATCAGCGATCGCCGCTTTATATTCCAACCCGCCCTCATCTCTTAGCATAGCCGAGAGGAAGTTCATCAAGACCGCGTGTTTGCGAGGGAACTTTTGACACAGAGCCCTGAGAGAAAAAAAAGAGATTTTAGAAGAAATGCTTTAGCAAAGTTATTATATAACTCGCAAAATGAAATTTACCTGATGGCTTGGACTACTACGACTTTAAATTCATCTGAAATTTCCGAAACAAAGGTGGCGATCTGCTTCATTAGACGGTCAACGGAACTCTCTGCTCCGGTCTTCAAGAGGGTGGTTATCGCCAAAGTGGCAATCGATCTGTTCGAGTCTGTGATCAGATTTTCCAGATCCAGATTGCAAGCCGTGACTGCCGCTGGATGAGACATCGCGACTTTGTTGAGAGTCCTGACTGCGGCAAATCGAAGTGCCGGCTTTGGCGAGCCACAGAACAGTTGCAAGACGCTAATCGCTGGTCCAATTTCTCTGGCACCACTTCGTCCAAGATTGACCAAAGCATGTGCTGCCTCATACACCACCATTTCGGATTTATGGCGTAGACAGGATTCGATGAATCCTATCAGTTCCTCGCCTTCGTCCACCTCATCCAATAATTTATATGCCATTCTAATCAGCATGCAAGCCGCATAAGGGCTCTTCGGGCTTGTCCTCATAAGTTTGGCAACCAGCTTGATCACCGCATGCTTGTCTGCCTTACGTGCTTGATACAAGACACCCAGAGCATGATACTGAACCATCACATTGTCACAATTTAATGCCTCTTGAGCTTCATTTGCCCATCTCCTTGCAACGTCACTGGATACGCTTGTCAAATGCAAGGAAGAAACAAGAGCAGCACTGGACACAGCTGGAGAGCGATCGATTATGGCTTGCTTCATGTAACGCTCGATTGCTGCTAGCATACTACTATCGGTGATGGTGCAGAGTGCTCGAATAGCAGCAGCCCTATATAAGTCCTCTTTCCCAGTCATATCTTTCGTTAGACTGGACGTGACTATAATCACATCCTCGGCTAAAGAACTCAATTCTTTGATACCCAGATAGACCAGCCGTCTCAATATAACATCGCGCGACTGAAACAGCTTGGTCATAGCAAAGAAGGCCTCTGTGGCTTCCGTTGTGCCTAATTGTTCGCCCTGGTTGAGCAGATACAGAATTTTGGTGAGAATGTGAGCGCATTTTCTCGGATTTACAGGCGTGTTGTTGAATGTACGTGCTTCCTGAAGAACTGTGGTCTTCTCCAAGTTTTGAAATGGATTCCCACCACCTTGATCAGACAGGAAAGATATATGTTAGTGCTCAATAATCATTGACACTAAATTCTAATAAGATCTAAAACACGTATAATTTGGAAATGTGCGTTCGTGCAAAATTATTACGAAACCCGATATATAATACGATGTCCATACTTATTACAACACTTGCTACATCTGTAAAAATGTGTTTACTTGTAATTGTCAGAGACTACCTGATAACCTACACGCGACTTCCAATTCTCCCTCGCGAGCAACACTCGCGTTAAGAGAATATTAGAAATATTAATTCATAATTACCATCTTCCTCCTCCTTTTTGTCGCGCTTAAACGTAATCATATTTCAATGCGAATGAAATTTCGGATGATGAAAAGATACTACGACACGTCAGCTCGATGTATTCTAAACGGCCATTGCAGTTTCCATCTTTCACTGTCTTTCCTACGGAGCATGATACGTGGAGCACGAAGACACGTACGATTCAGGTAATTAAGAATGAAAGAAAAAGAAACGAATAAATTACATTCGTGAATCATATTATTGTTGGGAAGATATATGCAGGTACAAAGAAGGCAATTTGATGAAAACGTGTGAACTCTGAACAAATTTTCGTGATCATCAATATATACATAGGACTTCGAAAATAATTAATTTTTGATATTACTGACTGTTGATAAATATAAATTTGCTTACAATCATTATCATCTATAAATATCGATATTATCAATTATCAATAAATCTAAATTTCACTGATCATTTATCAGGATTTTGCGTAAAATATAATAATCTACATTTATTGTATGTATATACAATGAATATTAAGTTTTTACGTGTCATACGTAAGCAATTTATCTTATTTAATATTCGTCAAAACGTACATTCTTTGTTATTACACTAGAGTGCACTAAAGCTTCTCTCTCTCTATGTAGCTCATTATATTTTTATCAATACTAAAGTCAGATATATTAATATAATTATAAAACTCAATTATTTCTTTCTGTATTAATGTTATCCAATTTATAATAATTTGCATATTTTACGTTGCTTGTGTATTGAAATATACGACAGATATATATATATATATATATATATATATATATACATATACATAGCCGCAAAACTAATTTTTTTTTCTACAATTATCACTCATACTTGGAAAATTATAAATATGAAACAATAATAATAAAAATACTTTTAAACAAAAAATGAACACGATCGATTTATAAATATATGAAATATATATCTACGAAAAGATCAAGTCAAATTTTTATCTATCTTTTTTTTGTATTTATTGTACGTATACATGAAGTGTTTCAATAACACGTGAACAAAAGCAGCGAAAAATTTCGTAATAAACTTAATATTACTTAATATTACTTGCGTGGAAGCGAACAAGTGTTGAATTTTTAACCAGATTTAATCGCAGCATAATTAAGTTTAATTAATAATAATTAACACCAAGTAAATGATTAAAGCAAAGAGGTTTGTTCGTAACTACAGAACTTATTCTACTTTTAAAATTTTAATCAAAATAAATGCAAATGAGAATTAATAAGCTTTCAAAGAAGTTTTTCATTAATTAGCAGAATGTCTATGCCGTTAGTTTAAGACTAAAACGCAGAATTAACGCAACATTAAAAAAAATATATATACGTATAGAAATAAAAAGTAATATAAAAATAAGTGAAACACCGTTATTAATTTATATCAATTTTTTAATATGTATTATGTGTACTAGATATGTTTTTATGTATTGTATTATTTTATGCATTTTTGTATGTATTTAGTTATGAGATAGATTTTGTATCTCTTCTACCCCTTAAATAAAAAATTATTATTTATTTATATTAATTTTGAATAATATATTTCAAAATATGTATTTTTAGTGAGAATAGAAATTAAAGATTACACTTTTATGTGTTATACACCAGTTTCTTCCTCTTCCTCTCCCCCTTCCTCTTCCCCTTACCCATGCTCTTCCCCATCCCCTTCCTCTTCCCCTTCCTCTTCCCCTTCCTCTCCACGTTCCTCTTCCATATCTTTCATCTCTTAGAGCAGATCTGACAGCTCTTTTTACGAGAGTATCTAATTCTTTTTTCTAAAAAGAAAGAAATAAATAACATACGAAACATATATAAAATACATTAATATATGTATGCAATAAAAACAATGAAATTAAACAAAGCGTATGCTATTAATATATGATATTAAAACACATTTTTATGATGTAATTTAATTTAATTAACGCATATTTACAATTAGACTTGCCATGAATTCTTTTACTTAAAAAATGGATTTGTTTCATATAACTAATTTATAGGAAAGTTATATATATGAAAGTTTTACACTAACATGTAATGTAATTAGCGTCTCAGCGTCCACTGTTGATGTTGCAGATGTGGTGGCCAACGCCATCGTTGACATAGGTGTTGTGGTCCATGTTGTCATTGTTGATTCGGGCATTGTTGTTGACATCATCGTCAATGCAGTTGTCGTTGTTGATGTTATCGTTGTCTTTGACGCCATCATCTCTGATACTGTTGCTGTTGATGTCGTCATTATCGTTGATATAGATGTTGAGGTCCATGCTGTCATTGTTGTTGACTTAGGTATTGTGGTCCACGTTGTTACTGTTGACTCAGGTATTGCCGTCAACTTTGTCGACGTTAATGGAGCCGCCGTTGTTGATGTTATCATGTTTGACTTTATCGTATCTGACACTGTTGCCGTCGGCGCCGTCATTATTGTTGATGTAGATGTTGAGGTCCATGCTGTCATTGCCGTTGACGTAGGCATTTTGGTCCACATTGGCATTGTTGACTCAGGTATTGCCGTAAACTTCGCCGGTGTCAATAGAGTTGTTGATAGTGTCGTTATCTTCGACGCCTCTATCATCTCTGATTGATCTACTGTTGCTGTTGGTGTTGTTGGTATCACTGGTATCATTGTTTTTGATTCAGGAATTGTGGTCCATGTTGTCGTTGTTGTTATTGCAGGTAATACTCTGGATGTTGTCGTTGCCAATTTAGTAGTCGTTGACATGATTGTCTCAGATACCATCCTCTTCCTTGATGCTATTGTTGTCGTCGGCGTCTTTGTTGTCGATGGTATCTTTGTCGTTGACATAGACGTTGTGGTAAGTCTCTCCAGTGTCCCATCAAATCCAGTAAATTTCATTGCAGGCGTCATCGGCGTCCATGTACTCGTTGTTGATTTTGTCTTCTTCATCTTAGATATTGTTGACACTAATGATTTCGTCGTTATTATTAGTTAATGACAGTATTTTTGTAATAATTCAACACTGAAAAAAGCCATAAAAAATTATGTACTAAATAAATTAAAGAGCATTAAATAAACTTATGCTTATAAATCATGAATGTAAATGAAAAATAATTTCATAAAACTTCAGAACCCAGTAAATATCGCCTAAAGGTAAGATTCTAACAATAAGCCATCAATACTTAATAAATCAGAAATCAGAAGCTAGAAATTAATCAATCACAATTGAATGTGAGAAGAATAATTGACTGTAAAAATTCTACCGTTCTGATAGACAATTTCTAGCTTTTGACTTTTAATTTATGACTAATGGTTTATTATAGAAAGCCTCCAACAGTTTATCAATATTGTAATTTTTTATCTTTAATGTCATATTGTTATAACTTATAATATTTACATATATTAAGGTGTCTATAAATGCATTGGTATCTGTTATTATATGAGTACGAATATCCACAATACGAGTATTCCGTTCATTCTGTTCAAATTTCCGTTAACAACGAATGCACATGTACAAAAGCTAGGTATATTAATGGCCGGCATTGGTCGCAAGATATCATGGCGTTCGATATTCACAGATTTTCTTAATTATTCCATTGCAACACAAGATTGAAACATGCTGTCACAATCGTACGAACGAAGATGTATTTCTTAAAAAGGAATTTGACTATTAAATAGCATCGGTTATTAACACGTTTATGATCAGGCATTTGTGAACGCAAAGGTACTCGATTGCAACAATCTCCGACTCGTCCTTATGCGATATGAGACAAGTAACTTATGAAATCTTTAGATTCACAATAACAAGTAAATATTTTACCTATTAAAGACGTAATTAAAGACGTAATACGAGAACACAACTCCACTTACGCTGAAACTCATCATTTAGGGAAGATAAATCGATCGTCCTATCGTAGATCGGTCAACGAAACCAACAAGCATCAAACACTTCCTTTTGTGCGCTTATGTGTGTGTGGGTACGTGCGAATGTGCGTACTACACATACGTATGGACTAACAAACAAAACTCACTGGCGGGAAAAACAAGATTGACGGCGCGAAGATTTAAAACAAAAACGCGTATTCAGATCGTGTTTTTATTGATAAATATGCGCTTCTATAATAAAATGTAAACTATAGTATATTAAACGCGCCCTAATATCGTTCTAACTCGAATATAGAACAACAAGTCTCGATAACGATAAGACATTAAAATGAATCTTAACGGAACGAAAAATAATTTTTAATATTCATTTTAAAGCCATTTTGACATCACTTTTATATTATGATGGCTTATGTTCTGCTTGAAAAGCATATTCTGAATATGGGCTGTATTTATTACGACTTTTAATTAAAATATACTTTTTCATATTTATTTTTAAAACACTGCACACTTTTCACTTTATCTTTAGGAAGTAAAGGAAGGAAAATTAATAAAATCCTTTTACTTCGATAATCTAATATCGTAATAAATCAACTATGGTGAATATATAATGATTATAAATAATTATAGTTGAACCCCAGAAACATTTATTCTTTTATTTTTAATACATATATATCTAATTTCAAAATTAAGAAAAAATTTATTTTTAATGTTTTACTTTTAATATTTTTTTAACTTTACGATAATTCCATATTGAATTTAGCGCTTTCCGCAAGAGCGTAGAGTATAGGTCACGTGATCGCAAACCACATGCACGACATCTGTTCCGAAGAGCGACTGTAAACAAATTGATAAAAATGGCGTCCGCTTTGGAGAATCTAGAGGCTCAGTTGGAACTGTTTATCGAGAATGTACGACAAATACGCATTATAGTGAGCGATTTTCAGCCTCAAGGGCAAAATGTATTAAATCAGAAGATGTGAGTACTCATACAACATGCGTACATTCGTATATTCATGCGTGGAAACATTACCTTTATGAATTAACCTCGCATTAGTATGCAATACCTGCAATACGATAACATTTGTTGCGTCTTGTGTCATACTTGAACAATAATAAACTTTTACATATACTTATTAGAAGTGCACTTTTGAAATCTGATAGAAATTAAAGGCATTAATTTAACAGAGATATTCAATATGCTTTATCAATATTTCGTCAGGAAATGCACATTCTTTAAAAAGCACAATATTGCGTTATTGTCCTCTTTAATTACTATAAATTATTTATGATCTACACTCACTTAAAATTTCATAGATCTGTTCCTTTTAGCTGAATTTTTTGCACGATTTATCCTTCCTTTTTTTCTCTTCATGTTCGAGAAAAAAAGAAAAGGTAAATCCTGCACAAGAAGTTTTAGTTAAAAAGGACAGACCTCATATTCGTTTAAACATAAATTATACTTAATTGATATCACTACTTAAAATGTGAAACTTATTTTAAAAAATGTAGGACAAGAAGTATCCAAAGCCCAAGAAGTGTATCAGCCTTTACATTTATTTTTCCTTTTTCTTTTATCTCCAGCAAAAAAACAAAAGGCAATAGGTGTAAACACTGATATGCATCATAGGACTGTTCTTTTTACTGAACTGGTGCATACAGTGACAGTGGCTGCGTTCAGCAGAACGTTTGTTTTGCAACAGGAAGTTTCCTTTGCGCTAATTGGATCATACTTTTAGATCTAGAATAATGGTCCTATCTCAGCAGACAATCATAAAACGGTTGCAAAACTGTTGAGTCTGCTGAACGCAGCCAGTGTTCCAAATTTACTGCCAACACTTTAAATACAACAGTTTACGTTACGTGCACTATAGATTTTCAGTACAGGCATTCAATTTTGGAACATAGCCAGTGCAATAAGTTGAAGTGAAACAGAAGGTATGTTCTTTTTGGTTGAACTTTTGCACCAGTTCATCTTTCTTCCTTTTCTCTCCAGGAGGAAAGAAGAGGAAGAAAGATCAACTGGTGCAAAAGTTCAGCCAAAAGGACCGGCCTAGATATACGTTTGTTTCATTTCAATTTATTGCACTGTGTGCACCAGTTCAGACAGTTGCAGGCAAAAAGAACAGGCCTCATATAAAATACCTACAATTATAAATCTTGGATAACACTGATCTAGAAATTCAATAAATTGTTTTTAGTCAAGGCTTAGTCAATGGCTTACAGGAAATTGACAAGCTAAAGTCTCAGGTACAAGATGTCCTCGTGCCACTGGAAGTATTCGAGTAAGTCTGATAACATTGATGTTATTAATTATTTAATTTTGACAAATCTATTATTACGAAAACACTCGTTTTAGTTATATCGACCAAGGGAGAAATCCTCAATTGTATACCAAAGACTGTATAGAGAAGGCTTTGACGAAAAATGAACAGGTCAAAGGAAAAATAGATGCCTATAGGAAATTCAAGGCGAACATGCTGGTGGAGTTGAATCGAGTTTTCCCTAATGAACTAGCCAAATACAGAGCGATTCGCGGAGATGAATAGGATAATCCTAGTTTCAAGGACCAATATTTTGATGGATACACGTGTCTCTGCGAACGCTGCCACACGATGTGTAATATATGTTCTTGGTAACCTCTATATTTATTAAAAAACATACTTCTTAAGCATGACACTTAATATTATATTTTCTTGTATATATATTATAAGCATATCTTATGCAATTTTCTAAAAATTAAAGAAACTTATAAAAGATAGAGAATGTTGAAATATTTATATTTTTTGTATTCCTGGTTTAGTAAACCTAACCTGCATTAATTAAACCAACACTTGTGCAAATTTTATTGAATAATCATCGCGCTATTCTTTGTATTAAAACACTTGTATTACGCTTGTATTTTATACCAAGTGTTCAAAATAAGGCGTTACAAATTTTTATCTCGGAAATATGGTATTTTTTTTTTATAAAAAAAAGATGGTTCAGACAAGAGTTATTTGATTTCAAGGAGGAAATATGGCATTTATTTTCTTACTTATTTCAACTTTGTTTTTTTAAACAGTATGTACGTTTTTTTGTAATGGCAACATATTCTAGGCAATTAACTTTTGTCTGAAATATTTTTTACCTACCTATAATTTTCTAAGATATTTAACAAAATATCTATACTTTTGGAATTTAAAAAATGTCGATAACTAGCAACTTTTAAGGAAAAGTGCAAAAGATAACAAATGTTTATTTTAAACTAATAAATTTAATAAGTATCATTTACCAAACTTTCTCGTTTCATTTTTTAGATGTTTAACAATTAACGATCAATGTACAATTAAATTAATGTTCGAAATTAAGTCCTTCACTTCAATATGTTTTAGAATTTTTCCACGAAAACATCTTCATTAATTAACATCTGTAGTGTTATTTGTGCACAGGCTCGATATATTCTACCTACCATAACTTCGCGTTGTGGGAACAGTTGACATAACATGTTCACCAGACCTATCATTAATTTTTTCTTTGGAACTTCATAAAAAAACATGTTATATTAACTGCTTCTACATGAAGATATGATGGATAGAATACATCGTGCACAAATAACATCACAGATGTTAGCTAATGTTTGAAGGTGTTTTCGCGAAAGACTTAAGAAATAAAATAAAAAATAATAAATACCGTAATATTTCCCCTTTGAAGTCAAATAACTCTTGTCTGAAAAATTCCAAAAAATGCCGTATTTTTGAGATAAAAATTTGAGATTTTCAAAATTTAAAAGAAAGGATATAATCAGGAAAATTTGTATTGTACATTAAAATATGATGATAATTACCTATTAATGATGCTTTCCATTTAGTGACATAAGTCTACACAAGTGTCGTTCTGTCTTAATCGTCAAATGTCAAGAACGATATAGAATGATGTTTGTCGACTTGTGTCATCAAATGGAAAGCACTAAATATCAAGTGCGACTTGCATGGTTAACCATAAAACAAGGGTATGTTTACTTTATAACTAATCTTGTAACGATTGTAATAGTGCAAAATATGTTAAGAGTTCAACAATCGCAACTATAAACTTCACGTAACTCCAAATGGTATAACTTAATTTGATATAAGGCGCAATTGTGTAAAATCATTATGGTAAAATCATTATGGCATTTGTCTCGCACAAATATTTTACAGTGACGAATAGCGGAGTGAATATTTGATATGTACTTTCAATTACGTATATTACATGTATTATATTGCAGAAATAATGCAGTAAAATTTAGTAAGCTGAGAAAAGAGGTATTTAATTTTCGATGCATATGGAGATGAATGTTGATGCAAAAAAAATCATTTATTATATTAAAAATAATTATATAATTTTTATGATGTAGGACCTATATTACATTGAAAACAAAGATTAGATACGAAAGCGATACAATTTTTAAGCCGATATCTCGGTAATATCTTTGCGATTTGTTATGTGTATATGTATAAAAAAATATTGTATAAGTATATATAATATAACTTTTTATACATATATACATATACATATGTATATACATATATATATATATTTAAAACTTTAGTTTTTAATATAACAGAATCTACTGTGATGCAGCGAAATAATTTGCATTCCATGCACATGCCGTTTTTCGCACATTAAAGACATTGGTTTGCCCCACTCGGCTTTTTCCCCTCTACTTCGCAAAGTACGAATGCGATCTTTGAGCGAAGGATAAAATCATTCTGCGGACGACAATCGAGCGTTCGACAGTCAGTAGCCCTGGCGATCACTTTAAGCGGCATGTTCGCGCCACTGATCGTCATTCTCGCGCTCCAATACGGCGCCAATGGAGCCGAGAAGTTCACGTGAGTACTATGCTGAAAGATTCGTCTCGTTTTAACTTCATCGAATAATGTTCGATACCATAGATACAGGAAAATGCAACTCACATCAATTGTCATTTGGCCATTTTTGCGCAGAAATATGTAGAGATCATTTTCACATTTTGGTACCAAGTGATATATATATTTAATCAAAATTAAATTGGTATAATTTCAATAGATTTAGATTTTGGTATCTAGATTTTGGTTCTTTAAAATTATAATAGTCTTAATTTTCGATACCAAACGAATTTTTGATACCAAGCGAATTGTTACATTCTCTATATAATTGTCACCATTTATTTCTACACGTGGCTGAAATTAGCGTGTACATCTCGTACGCTTTTAAAGATAGATTTTTAAGCAATAAAAAGGTCATTGAATTGTCATTAATGAGTTGTCGGTCACGTGATTTTTTTTTATCGTTTAAAAAGCGATGAGCGATGCATAAAAAGGTACTTTCTTTAAAGCGGTCAAGTAGTAGCTGGATTACTACTCGCAACTGCGTGAATGTTAGTTTTAAATAGAAAGGTAATTCATCGAGTACCACCACGGTGAAAGCAACAAGTGGGTGGATTCACTGAGAAATAGACCGCATCGATCGCCTCGGCGTCTTCCCGAAGTTCAAAGACATTTGGAAAATTATTGAGTTCCTACTACTTCTCGCACTTCTCAGATTTGAATACAGCATGAACGTTTACTTAGAAATCCTTTCACAACGTTGTAACGGTGAATAGTAATAAGGCAGATATAATCTGCCTCTTCTCTTCTTAACGATAAGAATTATTTTTCTCTTCTGATAAAATTGTATATACACGTAAAATAATTTTACGTTCTTTTATGAAAGAATATTTTTTTATTATAATTGCAGACATAATAAAATGTAATTTTTAAAAGTGAAATTAGACTGATAAGTTAATTGTAAAAATTTGCTGTTAACTTCATTGGTAAGTACAGTTCAATTGTTCACAAATTATATCTTATCTTATATTAATCTCTTATCTTATAAATATTATTTACTTACCAACAACTGTGGTTAACACTTAAGCCCGATTTCACAATATATGGTTACCTAAAGATTAAAAGTAATTAAGAAATTCATGAATGAATTTCATTGATAAATCTGTTGTAACTTTTAATCTTTAGGTAACTATATATTATGAAAACAGGTCTTGTATTGGTATTTTACTTATATTTAGTAAATATTTAGATACATTTTTGTGGTGGAAGATCATTTATTTCATTATTTTCATCCTAAATTCTGTTGTCAGCTTTACTTTTTTACTTAAAATTTAAATTTGGATATACTCCAATTGTTTGCAAACTGTATCTTATCGCCTTATAATATTTACACTTATATTATTTACATCAACAACCGCGAAAGCTTATTATTGCATTTTACTTATATTTAATTTATTCTTGGAGCCATAAAAAAGTATTTATACTTTTATATTTACTGAATATTTACTACAGATCATTGATTACGATTACGGGTAAAGGATTGTTTATTGGAGATGTCTTTTTTAATTTACTTTTTTATTTAAACAAATATATGAATACTCGTAAAAATGTATTCATGAATAAATATTTTTGAAAACTCACAGTTTCGAATAAATATATGAATAAATATTTTTTTAATATGAAAATTTTGAATGAATAAAGCACCTCAATTATGAGCTTTTGTATTTTTCGAGTACACTATTGCGCACTTTATGCGCTCCTATAATAGACGTTAGACAAATGATTCTGTGCATAACGTCCGTGTAATATCGTGTATTGCGAGTAATATTTATTGCGAATTAGTTGATGCTTATTTATATTAGTCGATTGATAAGTAAATGTAAAAATAAGATAAATTTTTAATTTATCGAAATTATGTTGCTATTATTTTACTAATTTATATTGGATTATATCAATAGAAGATATGAATAAGATTTGAACAGTTATAATCAAATACGTGACATACATTCGAGTAATTATTTTAATAACTTTACTCTTCAATTTTATACATCTATTCTTTAATTCTCTTTAATCTTTAATTATACTGAAAAATTTATTAATTATTTCTTATTATTTATTTATTTATTTATTCCGTTATAAAAATATACCGATTATATAATATTATTATTTACATGATATTATTACTGGTATATAAAATTAAAAAAATTATTTAAAAAAAGCCAAATTCTCTCTTTTTCAAAATGCAGTTCTCCTTGGCACTACAAGTGCGATAGCGGCATGTGCAAGAAGACACTGATCACGAAAAAAGACAACAACCCGGTTTCTCTTGAAGTGTGCGAATTGTTCTGCGGTACAGGTAATCTGTGGCCGATGCCGACAGGACATATATCCATCGGTCAAGTCACGGCACAGCTTAATCCTGAGAATATTGCGCTCGCCGGAATTTCCACTCAATCGGCGGTGGGAAATCTTCTTCAAAGGAACATTGATCGTATAAAAGAGAATGTGAAGAGGCTTAGTGGTTCCGTATCTTTAAAATCTTCAAATTCTGATGGGTCCAATTTAGTGATACGCTTTAAAGAAGGACTTAATTTTAATAACGTCAAGTTGACCTTAGAAACGGACGAAAGCTACATTCTCCAAGTATCTGCGAACGATCGTCAGGTAAGTTGTAACAAAGAAAAAAACTAAAAAGCAAGAAGACCCACTTTGAATAAATTTACATTTGGGTTCTCATTAAATATATTAACGACTGTTTTTCGTGGATCCCAACTGTGATTAATTCGAAGTTCGATTTATATAAATATTGAGAATAGAGCTATCACGGATTTTTTTATATGAATAAAAGGCTTAAGATAAATGAGATCCTTAGCTACTCGAACTAAAATACTGACGTCAAAATTTTATGGATATCGAATATCCAAAAAATAAAAATCTCTTTTGTCTTGAGACTTAAAAATAAAAAAGTACGTAAATATTAGTGTTATGTATTATTCGCTGTTTAATTAAGCTTTGAGTTAATAATTCCGTTATTTTATAAGTCTGTTTTCTATGGTTGAACTAGTGTTAGACTTTTAGACTAACAGACTTATAAAATAACGGAATTATTAACTCAAAGCTTAATTAAACAGCGAATAATACAAAACACTAATATTTACGTACTTTTTTATTTTTAAGTCTCAAGACAAAAGAGATTTTTATTTTTTGTATATATATATATATGTTTGATATTATTTGATATATATATAATATATATGTTTGATATTTGTCGAAAACGAAAAAGAGAGTTTTAGTGCAATCTAATACAGGAACAGAAAACAGACCAATAGTAGTTCAACGTTTCATAATCGCTATAATAAAGATGCTTGGATGTAAAAACGAGTTTTTTTCTGTTCATACATTCAAGAGAAGTACATAGTATATATACATAGATATAGTGTCTCATCATTAGATCATGCTGTGCTTCGTTAATGATCACATGATCTTTCTAATTGATCATTAGTGACGTGTTAGTCAGATAAATTAAGATCATTTCCGCGGCATGGCTGAAAATTTACATATTTCATTCACATTTTCTATTATACAATTGCGTATATTCTTGTAATTAACTTAATTTGAACTTCTTTTAACTGAACTCTCTTCTCTTTTTATTAACTTTTCACTTATTCCTTTCTTTCTTATTTTCTCTTTTTCTATTCTCTTTAAGTCAATTGCTTCTTTCTAAAAAAACTCACTTCTAATACATTCGCAGTTTATTAAAATTTATTAAAATAATTTCTAGGTGGAAGCCCTTATCACGGCGAATACATATTTCGGAGCTCGACACGCATTGGAGACCCTCAACCAACTGATTGCCTATAACGAATTGGACTCTAAAATTCATATAGCTAGCGATATATATATCGCAGATGGTCCAAAGTATCCTTACCGTGGAATCCTTTTGGACACTAGCCGAAACTATGTCGACAAAAAGACGATTCTGCGGACGATCGACAGTATGGCCGCGTCCAAACTGAATACATTCCACTGGCATATCACCGATTCCCAAAGTTTCCCTTATGTCAGTAGAACATGGCCCAATTTCGTCAAGTATGGTAGCTACACGCCAAGGAAGATCTATACCTCTGAGACGATCAGGGAGATCGTCGATTACGCCTTGGTTCGCGGAGTTAGGGTCCTGCCAGAATTTGATGCACCTGCGCATGTTGGCGAAGGCTGGCAGTGGGTGAGTAATAACTCCTGTATTATCAGAGCAAATAAAGGTGATTTATGATCTGATGTTCGATTCGTTTATATGTTAAGTAAAAGTTATGATAAGAGACGTACCCATTTATCATGAAGAGAGTATATTACATATATTATTTATAAAAGTTAATATAATAACTCTAAAAAGTCTAGAACTAAAAGTCTAGAACATAAATTTATAGAGTAAACCATTAAAAGATTTTACGAAGAAGAATAAGAATTACACTTGAAGCATTATAATAAAGATTATTTTGACAATATTTCCACATCCCCAGCTATCTCAATCAATCGGAAAGAAATATTATTTAATTAATTTTATTTATATTAATTCAAAAAGTATTTTTTTGATCATTAAAAATAATGAAAAATTCCATATTTCAATATGAGCGTAAAAGAAAGCATTTGACAGGGGCTTGTCTAATTGTTTTTTAAAATTACTTTTTTTGGTTAATCATATTAATTTTTTTAATTATTCGCATCTCTTGTTTGCTAGTTAACATCTTATATATATTTGCGATAATAAACATTAATTTAAAAATATTATGTCCACAGATGTTGTTTATGATTTTTTAAGAACCATTTTGTTGAAGATTAAGCACATACCTTGATCACATAAAATTAACAATATGAAAAATATATACATGAGGAAAATCTTAAACATCTGGATCCTAAGAAATATATTAATTTGTTTTACATTATAATATCGTAAAAAATGAGAGATATTATGAGAGAAATAAAATATATAGATCAAATATCATCCTTGGTAAAAATTTTCTTAGAATTCTTCACATAATTTTTCATAATTTCTGTATAAATTTTAGATTTTGTTAAAATTTATGTATAGTTTTATAACTTTTTAAAAATTTTCTAAAATTTTTCTTTAATCTACAGTACTATATGTTAACAAATACTGTATATTAACAAATAGGTTGGTGACAATGCGACAGTTTGCTTCAAAGCTGAGCCTTGGATGAACTATTGCGTAGAGCCGCCATGCGGTCAATTGAATCCTACTAGTGAAAGTTTTTTTAAAGAGTGTACGAGGTCCTTGAAGGAATTTATAAGGATATGATAGAAGATTTTCAACAACCGGACATCTTCCACATGGGCGGTGACGAAGTAAACATTAACTGCTGGCGATCCCAAAAAATTATCACCGATTGGATGTTAAAGAAGGGATGGAATCTTAAAGATAACAGCTTCTATCTATTGTGGGATTATTTCCAGAAGAAAGCTCTGGAAAAACTGAAGATTGCCAATGGTGGCAAGGATATTCCGGCTGTTTTGTGGACCAGCGGATTGACGAATGAAGAAAATCTTAAACATCTGGATCCTAAGAAATATATCATTCAGATTTGGACACTTGGCAATGATCCAACTATCGGCCGGTTGTTGCAAAACAACTTTAAGATTATTTTCTCAAATTATGATGCTATGTATCTTGATTGTGGGTAAGAAAACATTTTGTAGGATTACGTTGCATATTCATCTTTTTTAAATTGTAATGTATTAAATGGAAAAAGTTTTCATAATATCTCATAATATGAAAAAAGTTTTCATATTTTATATTTATAAAGATTTAAAAAAATAGTTTTAAATATAAGTTTTTTTTTTAAATTATAAGAAAAATCGTAGAACGTTTCAGAATTCATGTATATAAAGAATTGTAAAAAAAATTCTACAAAAGATGTCACAAAAGGTAGACTTCTTTAACATTTTTGAAAAGTGTAACCCCATTCGTACAAAAAATCTGAGAAATGTTTTTAAACAGTTATAAAATTATATAAAAATGACGAATTTTTAAAAGTTTTAAAATTTATGTAGAAATTCTAAAAAAATTATTAATATTTCTAAAAAATTTTTATTAAAAATGTATCAATATTTGACTATTTGTAGATAAAAAATTAGTATTAATAATTATCACGTTAATTGTCATGTTAAATATATTGTATGAATATATATACTAAATCTTCTTAAGATTAAATATTAATTATAATTTTTCTTTTCATAGATTTGGAGCTTGGATAGGTGAAGGCAATAATTGGTGCTCGCCGTACATTGGTTGGCAAAAGATCTATGAAAATTCTCCGTTAGAGATTATCAAGAAGCAAGGATACGGAAATAAGAAGCATCTTATTCTAGGTAAATTCTCTGTTAAAATATTATTAAGACTTTATGAATTGTGCGTTATGAGATAATGTTAAAACGTTAAATAAAGATTACATTAAAGTCGTTGTTGCATTGTTAAAAATTGTTTGTGTTATCTTAATACATTCAAAAGAAAGAGAACTTAGAAATATTATTAAGACTTGATTAAAACTAATTTAATAGAAAAAGATATACAGATTTAACTTATACATTCGTTAACACATATAGTTTATAACATTGATACGCTGAATAATTACAATTTGATTGATCACGCATTTGTGTTATATGTATTTGTTTTATAGGTGGAGAAGCAGCGCTTTGGACCGAACAGGCCGACAGCACGAATATTGATATGAAATTGTGGCCAAGATCGGCCGCGATGGCTGAAAGATTGTGGAGTGAGCCGAATTCCAAATGGCATCATGCCGAACACAGAATGTTGAAGCATCGCCAGAGACTCGTTGAACAAAACATCAACGCGGACAGTTTGGAACCTGAGTGGTGCTTGCAAAATCAAGGTTCGTGCTACGCGTAAACAATAAACCTATGATATGAAAATTTGTATCCGTTTTGCTTTTACGCAATTTCATTGTTTCTATACATCTGATATTAGACTAAACCATGTTTTAATCTTGTTGTCGTTTTACTTTTTCTTACATTTTTTCCTTTCTTCGTCTTCGTAGAAACCTCATTGACGTTTAACAAAAAGTTCAAAAGTTTCATGTTACTTCAGTCGATTGCAATTACGATGCAAAAATTATACTGCATAAAAATTAAATTTTTCTTGAAAAACACATAGTTTGTATTTAAAATAAATCACGTACTTTTTCATTTATTTTATACAAACTTAGATATTTAATTAAGAACAATTTGATTATCTAATAAGTTACATCGTGATAATTATAATGTTTATTAACATTTTATAAAATAAAATTTATGTGATTTATCCTCTAATTATAAGAGATGACAACAATATGTTATAATCGGAGTGAACCTTATCACCGTATTTTTATTCACATTCATAATATTTTCAAATTGTAAAGAAAAATAGATGGTTGCGTTTAGCAGAAAAAGCTTTGCAACTGTTGAAAGGTTATTCAATAATATAATTGCTTTATACATTTAGATTCATTGATGAAGTAAATACAAGAACACCAGTCATATTAAAAAAATCTGACAACCGTTGTGTGTGCAAAGCTACTTTTTCTATCGAATGCCTATAAATGCTAGCTGTATAAATCAATATTGTACATTGAATGTGTATCGGGATGATTGATTGAGGAGCTCTCATTGTTTTTCTTGATGAAAATTATTCGTCGAAATTTATTTATCGCAAAAAATATATACTTGCAATAGTTGCAGTACATAATCGATATTTTTTGAGAGCTACGATAATAAATTTCGATACGCATATATACATACCTATATGTATTAATTCTTACATATGCTGTGTGGTTCCATGTGAGAACGGCGAAATCATAAAACTAAATTTCGGATTCAATCCCTTATTCCATAAACAGATTTTAAATTCGTAATCTGTGTAAAGCATGACAACGACAATTTCCGCGATAGACGGCTGAATGTAGAACACAGAAAGCAAGGGTGCCTATTTATTTTCCCATGAGAATCCATGGGCATGAGCTATCGGAGCTCAATAACTGTGTCACAATGCATCTGTCAAGATATCATAAAGAAGATATACGTACAGATATACATAGATATATATACAGATAATATACTTAGACAGGTACGGTATACTTACAATTACTTGTCATAAGTCAAACGCTGGATTGGGTTAATGTTTGAAATTTTTCTGCAATGATTCTGGAGTATCTTGTAAAAAGTAATATATGTAAAAAAATCATTTGCCTTGTCTCTGATATATAACATTAACATTTTTCTAATTCTCAACAATGATAATTATTTATACTATTTTTCGTTTTCTTTTAAATATAAAATAAAACATCGAAAGTTATCCGTTAGTAATCCGGAATATTTGTATTCTTATAAATCATATGTCGATTATTCATTTTTTCTTTAAAGCTTTTGTTTACTTATTTCATGTCACAATCTGAGATAGTGATAATGAACAGAAGTCTTAATATATAACATAAAATAGAAAAGAATAAAATTATTATTACATATTGCATTGAATACATATTGCAAATATTTCAATTTTTATGATGAATTTAAAGATAATGTAATTTCTTTATATCTTCTCGCGAAATTAAAATCTTATTTACAAGTTAAATGAGTAAATACCACGAATATTTTACAGATTTTACATAAACAGATAAATAGATCGTTAAAATTCTAAAATCACTTGATTTTCAACAATATATCTTTCTTATCCACCTAGATGATTTAAGCGAAATTCTATTTTCGGCAACGTTTCGAACTTCACTTTTTTGTAAAGATTAATAATACTCTCTCTATTGAAGAAACCTTTTTTGATCACGAGATAAAATTTGATTTTTTAATCTATTTATACTGTTTCAATGATTCGTGATTGCTAATAGCTATCTCCCTTGTCGTCAAAAGGTGTCTTCACGAAATACGTTGTAAGAGTTCCTTTGCCTTTCACGTATGTCGGACCTCGACAAACAAGCTCATATCCGGCGTTGATAAGAATCTTGGCAGTGTCTTCAGTGACTTGAATCTTACCCATCTCACCGCAACTATCCATTCTGGAAGCCACATTTACTGTATTTCCCCAAATGTCATATTGCGGTTTTTGGGCACCTACAACGCCAGCTATCACCGGACCGTGATTTAAGCCTATAATAAAAATATATTATTTCTTTATTTCACAGAATTAAAGAGACAGTAGTAATAATAACAAAGTATTAATTATTGATAAATATTAATATATAATTCTATAATATTAGTATATAATTCATTATGCAATTGTTTATCATTTAATATTCTTATTAAAAATATTTAAATTAAAAAATTTTGATGAAAAAAATTTAGTAAATGAAGGCGTTAACGATAATATATAATATTATTCCTATTATATCTGTTATTACCTATTCTCAATTTGAATCTCTGGAAAGAATCTCTGTTGATCTGATCCAGAATCGTCATAAGCGCGATGGCAAACTCGACGAGTACGATCACATTATGATCTTGTTGTTTCAGTAAGTTCTAAAACAAAGTCATAAAACAAACACAAAGAACAATATTATTTTGATAATTTTTTATATTAAAATAAAAAATAAATATTTTAAACATATATGTATACGCATTGATTTATTATGTGAAATTATTTTACACAAGATAAATATGTATTTATTTGAATAACTTCAAACTTTTAAAATTTAATCAAAATTATTGGAAAATGTCTTTATAAACAGAACAGATTTCTAAAGAAATTAAATAAGCTATGCAATTTCGACTCTAAAATTTAATTTTATGTCTTACTTTGCCATTACCATCCTCTTTTCCTGGGCTCAGACCGGACGCCAGCATATAAGTACTACCTATCGTCTTAATCTTTTCGATACCCGAGAACTTCGGCTTGAGTAAGAGTTTGTCGAAGTCACAAATGATTTCATTAAGTAGACGCAAACACTCGAGACCTTGTTTATTTATGTCGGTTTCGTCATAAAATTCCTTGTAATTCGGAATTGACGCGAACATCACTGCAATGCTGCTATATCTTTCATGATAGAGTTCCTATTAGAAGACAATAATAATCTTTGCTTCAATATCAATATATTAATAAATTAATTTTTATTAATCCTAAGTTACTATGATCGGAGATATTATCTAGGAGACCCGAGCAAAAATTTTTAAAGTATGACTATATCAAAATTTTTCTAATTACATTAAATTGTTATAACTTTTTTCCTACTCATATAAAAATAAACAACTAGTTTGAATATTCTGCATATTTTAATGACATATTTTAAGTGCTTATCGAATATTAATTATGTATGAGTTATGTATGTTGTTATGTATGTATTGAAATGTGTAAATTTCATTAATTATGGCATATAAATTAGATTTATAAAAATTATTACTTTTTAATAAATTAATTCACTGCATACATGATAAAAATAATTCTGAAAATCAGAATTTTAAGAACTGACCTGCATGGCTCTCGTAGCTAAAAAGTGATCAGCCACATGCGCTGGAAGAATGTTTTCCAAGAGAATCTTGTTGATGCCTCTCATGGTTTCTACCTCGTCTTGTTCAACTCTCAACTTACTCTTCCATAAAATATCCATTCTGGATGTGTATTCTACTTGTCTGTCGAGAATGTGTAGTATCAGACTGACGAGAACCAGTAAATATCCCACTTGCATCAGATAATGGACGCCGTAAAACCTACGAAAATGTGGCTCACGTAACATTGCAAGACCAAGCTTACGATTTATAACATGCACTGTTTGAGTTTTTAGAACGCCTTAACTTACTTGGCGCCAGAGTTCTCGTAGTACATTTGGATTACTGGTGCTTGAGAGAAGATTACGAGTATTATGGTAACGGATAGGAGCATTACGCCTAGCTTCAGCAAGAAATCGACCCTCAAGTGTGTCCAGCCAACTACTAATGCTATTACTGGAGAATATATATACACCTAAAAATGTTATTTATTAAAAGCAAATAGGTAATAAGCACGTGAGTGTATAAATTTGTCTTAAAAGAATTTTATATTAATAAAAAAATGATGATAAATAAATGCTTTTTAAATCTTTCACTTAACAAATAATATAAAAGGAATTGTTAAAAAATTTGTAAGATAATCATATGCAACATATTTTTTTTAAAGATGTAAATAATTAAAGAATTTTGAATATACACACTGGTATAATGTATCCTGCATTGTGATCAACTTCGATCAGACTAATGACTGATGATGCGATGGCTAGTAGTGCCGTTATCAAATATACTGTTATTCTAATACCCCGACTAAGTGCGATCTGATTTGTTATTTCTTCAGTATTTTCAGAGTCGGTTTTTCCACTAAACCAAGAAATTGCAGCGAATATAATTAGGGATGCTAAACCAGCTGCAAAGCAACCGTAAACTATGATGCTTCTGTGAAAATAAACGATAAAATTAATGTTTTAAATATTAAGTAGAAATATTCCTTTTGTTTATTTATTTCATTTATTTACACATCATTGTATTCAACGAGTCGACAAGTTACATGACTAAAGATATAAAAATATTGATTTTTTCACAAGTTATGACATTAAAATAGTATTAGAGTAATAGAGTAATAGAATAATGAGAAAAAAGAAAGCGAGAACTAGCTCAAGTATTATATGGTCGATTAATAATATTCGATTAAATTGTAATTCACCTTGGTAGATAGATGATCTGGATACAGAACATAATAGCGTAAACCACATTGGAGGCTACAACGTACCAAAGATATTGCTCATCCCTCTGCTCTCGATATAACTGTTCTTGACTTTTTTCCTTGAACCAAAAGGTAAAAGGCGAAATTCCTTCACTTCCGCCACACCACTGTCTACAATATACGTAAAAATAGAAACCATTTTTATATTGCAAATTAGTAAATTTAATATAAGTAAGCATGATTCTCATGTTTATCGTTTAAAAAAAATTATAATATTTATTTTAAAAGGTGTATTGAAATAGTTAATAAATTGTAATAATAGCTACATGCATACCATGTAATTATATAGAAATGTGGTGATGAAAAGAAGAGTGATATAATTATTATTAAATTTCAGTAAGCTATTAGTGTTTAAACTTGATTTTTTTTGCGTGATATTAACGTGATGTCAAACGAATAATCTTAATTTTTATTGATATGATGTTGATATAAAGTAAG